ATTGAAGATCCACTGGACTTCTGCTGAGTTCATTGTAATTTCCCCCTTTTCATTCCTAATTGTAAGGATTTGGGCTTTTTCTTTCCTTTTTTTTTGATAAGGTTGGCTAAGGGTTTGTCGATTTTGTTTATTCTTTCAAAGAACCAACTCTTGGTTTCATTGATTTTTTTTGTTGTTGCTCTCTTAGTCTCCATTGCATTGATTTCTGCACTGATCTTTATAATTTCCTCCCTTATATGAGCTTTGGGTTGGTGCTGCTGTTCTTTTTCTAGAAGCTTGAGGTTCAGCATCAAGTTTTTTGTTTTGTTTTGTTTTTTTGGTACCGGGGATTGAACTTGGGACCTTGTGCTTGTGAAGCAGGTGGTGGAACCACTGAGCTAAATCCCCAGCAGCATCAGGTTGTTTAATTGTGCTCACTCTGTTTTCCTAATATGAGTATTCACTGCTATGAATTTTCCCTGGTAAGACTGCTTTCATTGTGTCCCATATATTCTGATATGTTGTATTGTCATTGTCGTTTAATTGTTGGAACTGTATGATTTCTTCTTTAATTTCCTCTGTGACCCATTGGTTATTCAGAAGTGTGTTGAATTTCCATGTGTTTATGAAATTCTTGCAGTTTCTTTTGCTATTGATCTCCAATTTCATCACACAATGGCCTGATAATATACAGTGGAGAACTTCAATTCTTTTGCACTTACTTAAACATGTTCTATGAGTGAGTGAGTATGTCATCTGTTTTGGAGAATGACCTGTGTGCAGCTGAAAAGAATGTGTACTCTGATTTTGTGGAGAGGAACACTCTGTAATGATCTGTTGAGATCATTTGTTCAAGAGTTTGATTGAGTTCTAGTGTTTCATTGCTTATTTTTTGTCTAGTTGATCTATTTGTGATAGTGGGTATTGAGGTCCCCCACTAATATTATGGTAGTACTCATTTGATTTTTCATGTCCATTGGTATTTGTTTTATACAGTTTGGTGCACTAGTGTTTGGTGCATATACGTTTAGGATTGTCATCTCTTCCTGTTGGATTATTCCCTTTACAAGGATGTAGTGTCCTTCTTTGACTCTCTTAATCAGTGTTGGTTTGAAATGCACTTGATCTGCAAATAGGACAGCTGCTCCTGCTTTTTTTTGGGGGGGGGGTTCCTATTTCTTGGAGTATTGTTTTCCACTCTAACTTTCAGTCTATGAGTTTCTTTTCGAATTAAGTATGTTTCTTGTATGCAGCATATTGTTGGATCTTGCTCCTTGACACATTCTGCCAGTCTATTTCTTTTGGTTGATGAATTGAGACCATTAACATTGATGGTTATAACTGATATGTATTATCATTTCCATGACTTTTTCTTTTTGTTGGATTCTCCCCCTTTGTGTTTAATTTCTTGTCATCCCTGATGGACTCTGGGGTTGTGAGCCTTTGTCTTTTCCTAGGATACTGTCTAAAATTTTTGGAGTGCTGGTTTGGTATTCATGAAGTTCCTAAGGTGCTCTTTGTCATGAAAGTATCTTATTTCTCCATCAATTTTGGAAGATAGTTTTGCAGGGTACATCAGTCTGGGTTGGAGGCTGTTTTCCTTTTGGGATTGAAATACATCACTCCAAGCTCTTCTTGCCTTGAGCGTTTGTGTTGAGAAGTCTGCTGTGATTCTGATGGGCTTTCCTTTGTATGCGATTTGTTTCTTTTCTCTAACTGCTTGTAGAATTTTCTTCTGTTGGGTTTCTAGAATTTTAGCTCTTATATGCCTTTGTGTAGATTTTCTTTGATCAACGCTAGTTGGAGTCCTATATAGCTCACTTATCTGTATGTCAAGTTCTTTTCCCCTGCTTGAGAAGTTTTCTGCCATCACTGCTGTGAACAGTTTTTTTTTTTTTAATGTCATCTGCACTCTCTCCTGTTTCTTCATTGACTCTGATCAGTCTCATGTTATTCTTCTTTTCATCGTCTGGCAGTTACTGGATTGATTGCTCATGGTCCCTTACTATTTTTGAAAAATTTTTTCTTTTCCTGGTCACTAATTGCAATTCTATCTTCTATATCTGAAATTCTGTCCTCACATTGGCACATTCTGCTGCATAAATTTTCAGTGGAGTTTTTAATCTCCTGGAAATCTGTTTGCATCTGTTTTATGGATTCCATTTGTTTCCTATGTTGGGATTCCATCATGTTCCTTAGTGCTTCTATTTTTTTTATGTGTGTCCTCTCTAGATTTGTTAATCATGTCTTTCACTATGGGCACAATCTCTGCTGTTATCTGAGAAATCATTTCTGTTTTCATTTTTTCCAGATTCTCTTTTTTTGCCAGTTCAGGATATCCAGATGGTTGAATATCAGAGTGTTCCGTCTCTTTCCCTTTGGGGTTGCTTTAGGTGTTCTGGAAGTCTGGTTTTGAGACCTGTTTACGTGTCTTCTCATTTTAACCGCACCGTTGAGGGGGCGGGGGGGGGGTTGCTCTGCAGCTGGTGCCTGTTCAGCTTGCCTCCTCGGCACTGGGGGTGGTGGTACAGTGGCCTGGAATGTTCACCTCCTCGGTGCTCGGTTTCAGCTCTGCTCCTGGGTGCTGGGGGCAGTTGTATGTTGGCCCAGAAAATTCACCTCTTTGGTGGTAGGAGCAACTCTGCTCCTCATTGCTGGGCTCCATTTTTCCTTTTTTGGACCACAGTTCTTAATAATGCCATGGGGAATGAAGCTTCCAACACATGAATTTTGGATGACACATTCAAACAATGTCACTCTCTAGTGGAACTTTCTTTGAAGAAGTAGCTTTGCATTGCTAATCTACTCTATGATACTTTTTTTATGAAGAATTTTGATAAATTCCTCCCCCTTTTTTCTAAAGGGCACCTCACAGAAGTTGTCTACTGCTTTAAGTCACTTTTGCTAGAGGTTCCTATCTTAATGCCACAGGGTGGCTGTGGCCCAGTACCACTCCTCAGTGGGCACAATGATCCCTGTACTTGGTTGAACTCAGTTTTCTTTAATGTGACCAGTGGAGATCCAGTGACAAGTTAGTGATGTGTCATAATAGTCTTTGCCATTTCCCTTTTTTTTTTCATCTTAAGTAGCCTCTGTACACAATTTCTGTTTGCCATGAGTACAGTGGATGCTCTCTTAAGGTCCACACAAAATACAAAAGAGAGATCACAGCCACCACAACACTGCCAAAAAATGTAAAATGTGGCTGAAAGACCCTAGTTAGCAAGACAGACTCCATATTGCTGCTTGACCCACCTGCCTGCCCTTTAGATGAACTCAGAAGAAGGAAGCTTAAAAACCTCCTCCCCTTAGAAACTCTCTTTAGAAATAACAATTAATTAACTATTGTTTTACAAATGTTCTAACAGCAGGACGTTCTGCTTCTGTACCTTTTGCTTGCTTTACTAGTTCTATCCCATAGGGGGGGCCTAGAAACTGTTGACCTCAAAGGTGTATAAAACATGTTTGTCTTCCCCCAGTCGAGGATCGAGTCCGATGCTCGGCTCGGGTCCTGGCTGGTAATAAACTCCTGTGTGGCTTTAATATCGGCCTCTGGTTGGTTCTTTCTCACTGGGTGCAACAGTGACCAGTGCTGGTTTGGATAAGTCAGCTGAGGACTAACCACTTGCACCAGATAGGTTCTCATCCAACTGAGAAAATAAAATCTCAGGCAAAAATGTCAAAGGTCATCATGGGCTGAAATAACTGGGGAATTCTTTATGGAACAACACTGGGGAGGAGTAGCAACTAAATCAAAGGACTAAAGAGAAATAATTTCCTGAACTCACAGAGTGTAGAGAAGAATGTTGTTTAAGGTGAACTCTGGGGAAACGGTGCCAGGAACAGTAGATGTTCTCTCGCATGCGAGATAACATCCAGGGAGCATTGCATGCGATGCTCCTTCTGTTCCTGGGACCTTGACTCCTGAGAGAATGAGTATTCTGCTTTGGGAAAGCTCAAGATTAGGTACGAAAGCTTTCAAGATGTTATTTCTAAGAAAACAGCCCCAAGGCCTTGGTTGTAAAACTCTCACGTTTCTCACGCTCTCGCATTGTACACTGCCTCAATAAAAGATAACGGGCAACAGAGACTAGCTGCCGTTTCGCCTTGTGAGCTGCAGCTCTCTGCTCGTCCACTTAACGGCATTCTCGTGGTCTAACTCATCTTCGCGTCCCGAACAACTCCAACAGAGTCCTCTTCATTCCATGGCATGAAAAGGACACCAAGATCATGTGTATGTGTCTCTATCATAATTTGGGCTCACTCCACAGGGGGTGGGGCCGTGGGGACCTGCCACCTTCACCTCCGGCCCGAGTAATGTGCGCCCCAAAAACCTGAGGCCCCCAAGGGTAGGGCGGGGTAGGGTGGTACGGGGTGGGTTCAGCAGCTGTTAGTGCTAGCCGAGGCCTCCCGGGGTGCGTGCGCCTCGCTGGAGGCGGAGGGGAGGGGTCCGGAGGAGCGGCGCTCTAGACGGGGCGCCAAGGGCTCCCCGCGGCCAGGAGGGAACGGGAGGGAGGCGTGTCGGGCAGCGAGGGAGGAAGATGTGGTTGGGGCGGGGGTAGCAACCTGAAAGGGAGAAGGTGTTGGGCAGCTAAGGCTGAGCGAGAGCGCAGGGCACTTAGCTGCCTTTAATGGGGGAAGCGGGAGAACAGTGAATTTAGAGACGAAGAAGGGAGCGAGCTAATAAGCTAGGCAAACGTGTATCAGTGGCAAAGGCGGATGCTAGGACCCGGGGTCGAGAAGAGTATGCTTTGGGGCTGCCAGAGCGAGGGCTTGCCTGGAAGCGAAGCGGTGGTGGTGGAGTTGTTTGGCCTACACTAGGCTACGTTCGGCCTCAGCACGTCTTGGCCCTTTTGCAGTTTTCTTTCCCTCGGACAGCTCCGGGCGGGGCTCTGGATCCGGCGCTCTCGGCACCCCCGCGCGCGGGCACAGTGGTAGAGGCTGCGGTGACGCTGGCCTCTGATTGGCCGATGCGGGGCGGGGCGGAGTGTTGGGAGACTCGTCCTTCGCTGTGGGTTAGTCTTTCCCGCCATGTCGTTTGTGGGGAGCGGGAGGTATGTAGGTCCGCGGAGCCGCCGGCTGGGCACCCCGGTCCCTCTCTCTCGGCCTTTGAATTCCATCTTCACTCAGGGGGAGAGTTGGGGTGAGGGAGAAGTCGACCTAGAGGAAGGAGCCGATCAAGTGGCCCGCGACTTGAGGGCGGAGTTCTCGGCCGGGGTTTCGTCCGAGCCCATAAGGGGCCGGTTGGTCCCGCCTGGCGGGGATGCGTCGCCGGTCCTCCCGGACAAACGCAACGGCATCTTCCCTGCGGCTGCGGGCAGCCGAATCCCGTCTCGCGGGTGGCCCGTCCAGGTTCTCTCTATTCTCTGTTCGCTGCTGTTCGCCGCCGTCCTCGCTTTCTTCCTGGCCATCGCCTACCTGGTCGTTAAAGGTACTGAGCACAGGCTTTGAAAGTATCTGAAGTAAGAGTGGAGCTGGAGGCGGCTGTGGCCTCCGTCCACCCCCTTCTCTGCTAAAAGTGGGTAGCCGCTTTCCACTTAGCCCCTATGTGTACCTTTTTTTGCTCGTCCCCTTTGTTTTTTCTTCAGAGATGGAGCTTGCTTGGGCCTGGTGAGAAGACCCATATTAAAGTGTTTTGATTAAGTGGGTACTAAAGTCAGTGAAATATTAGCTTGATTAAGCAAAATGTAGAACATTCACCATTAAAGGGAGCTGGTGAGAAGTGCATGCGTTTAAAATAGATTATGTGCATTTGTGTATGTGTGTAAATATGTACACACAGATATATAACCTTTGCTCCACAAATGATTAAAAGTGTACTATCCTCTTATTCATCCATATACTGAGAATTCCGGAAGGATAAGAGTTTCTATCCGCAGACCCGATTTCTACTTTTGTAGATAAGTAGCTTCACAGTTTTGTATTATTTGCAGCTAGGTGTAACATGCAGTTTTATTGCAGGAGATACAATCTTCCTTGACTAATTTCATTTTTCTCTGTCTAAAGTTGAAATATTGGTCAAATTGGAAGAAAAATGGGTGTGCTGTGAAAGTTTTTCCAAGGCTTGCATTAATGTATGTATGATTAGATATTTATTGCAGTGGAAACACTCAGATCTCACTGGCCACCTCAGATCTCCCTGGATCACCTTGGCCAAATTATTGAAAAAGAAAAAACCAAAAGAGGGGGAAAAAACTTTCTTGTATAAAAAGCACTCTCTACTTGGTCACTCAATGTATTAGTTTTACTTTACTAATTAAAATTAAATCTAATTAACTCCATTTTTAATCTTTTGCACTGTTGGGGAATTGAACCCTGGACCTCATGTGCTAAGTAAGCTACAGCCCAAGCCCTCCAGTTTTTATTTTTCTTAGCCCCACAGAGGGCTGCAGATGGCCTCTAGCAGCTTACCATACTTGATTTTCTTAAAAAAGTCAGATTGGCAAGTTATCGTGTGAATGTTACCTCTTCACAATATGGTATTCCATGTAAACTATCAATCTTAAATGTTTGGCTGCTATTGCGAATCCTGTTACTACTCCAGACCCTTTTTTTTCCTCTGCAACCATTGCCAATTCTCTATTTCCCTTGACCCTTTTTTTTTCCTCTCTCTCTGCAAACTGATGGTGTTGAGAGAGAGAGAGAGAAAAAAGACAACGGTTTTGTCTTATAGTTTATTACTCTTTGCTGAGAGATCACTTTTGTATTACAAAGTCACGTAACCAGCTAAATGGAAATTCATTGCAGAAGACATTGATGATACTTTGGAGAATGGAGAAAGGAACTGAACTCAAAATCTAGTATGTCCTTAAATTTGTATCACATAAAATGTCTTCAAAACAAAGATTTTATTTGCGTACTGAAGGTCACATAGCTAGTAAATCAAATTAGAATTTGACCCCAGTACAACTCCAAAGCACTTTGTACAATTCTACAATGTCCTCCAAGTCTTGGAGTTACTTTTCAAATTATGAAATGATCTTGCTTTTCTACTTAAACCTTTCTTTATGTTTACAGAGTTGCATGCTGAAAATTTGAAAACTGAAGATGTAGATACTGGGCTGTTAGGTATGAACTTGTCACTTCATTTGATTTTGAGCTAATTTTTGTTTTCCTAAATTATATTTAAACTGTACAAACTTTGGAATAAAATACTGTATTCCCATCTGCAGTTGATTTAGTCATGTTTCTCATTTGCATGTGTGTGATTAGATTTCTTATATACACATCTATGTATATAAATGTATGTTTTGCACATTTGCCATAACTTTATAAGGTACTATTTGTGTGAAGCATTTTGAACATAACTATATGATTCAGGTCCTACACATACTTGCATATTCTAATTACCTGCTGGTAGAGGCTCTTCAGACCTCTTAAGGAATTTAAAAACAAAACCTTTGCAAACTTTACCCACATTCATAGTGTACTCAAATCTCAGGAGAAATTTAAGTTCAAATAGTTTATAAGCAACTTCTTTTTTTTAAAAAAAGTAAGATGGCTGAGGATTTAGCTTAGTGGTTCTTGCCTTGCAAGCGCAAGGACCTGAGTTCGATCCCCTGTACCAAAAATAAATAAATAAATAAAAGTAAGAAATCATTGACCATACTTGTAAAGTTAATGGCCAGGGGAGTCAAACCTGAGTTTCTGCAGTGTCTATAAAATGCTATACTGTAGTTTCCAGTGAAAAAGGTTATTAATGCTGTATTTCTTACTCTGTCAAAATGATCTTGGAGGATTTAGAACTTTATATATTTTACTTCTGTTTGCTGTAAACATTGATCTGATGACCAAATCATTTGATTATTCTAGATATGCATGACATCCTCCACTCCAAAATCTTTGCTAAACTCCAATCTACCTCTGTAAGCTAATGCCATCACAGTGACACTAAGTATGGTCTATCTGGTTTTGCAAAAGGGGAAACCATTATCTTTAAATAATGAAGTTAGTTTGTTAGATACCTTGTGGGAATTTTTTCTGAGCTACAAATAATGCAGTTTGTTAGATACTCTGTGGAAATTTTTTTTGAGCTATGGTGTTGTCAACTTCTTGCATGTGAAAATGTACTTATTTTATCAATTTTGCTATACTGTTTCATTTCTAGAAAACAACCAGGACTTTTCATAGCATTTTATTCTCAATACAGAAGAAAGAAACTGTGAACTAGGCATGAATTCTAACTTGTTGCTATTTGATATCAAATAGGTTGATTTCATATTTATAAATAAAATGGATAATGATTTTTTTTTTAACTTTTTTGCAATACTGAAATTGAACCCAGGGTTTCCTACATGCTAGGCAAGTGTTCTGTCCTTAAGCTACATACCTACCTTTTCTATTTTATTTTGAGACAGAATTTCACTGAGTTGCTCAGGCTGGCCTCAAACTAGGGGTCCTGCTCAATTTCCTGAGTACAGTAGCTGGGATTACAAGCCTGTGTAACTATACTTGACAGTAACAATTGCTGTCTGAAGGAATGGCTTGCTCAATATAAAAAAGTATAGTGGAACTTTTGTCACTTCCCTGCCTCCTTTTCCAATCCAGTTAAATAATCTTATATTGCTTTTAGGTATGTGTGATAGATACTTAATACTGCAAGAGCAAATAGGAAGATCAATATCTAAGTCTTTGACCCTAACATAAATTTATTATCAAGATTCAGGAATGAGCAAAATTGCCATTTTTTTTGGCACAAAAACTGTGAACAACAGCTGTGCCAAGACACCCTTATTTGGAAACAGTGATCATGTGGAGAACAAATATAGCCAACATCACCTAATAGGCTAATTCAATCATGTTCCTGGGAATTAAAGCAATTTTAAAGCAATATATATATATATATATATATTATATATATAGTAAATATATCTGTTATATCACAGCTAAATCCCTGGCCCTTCTGGTTAAAATTTTTAAAACTGTGGGTAGTTGAAAACATAGGCCAGTTCTCTCAAACTTTGTCAACTCTGAGTTAATTGTCTCTTGTCTTACCTCTGAAGAAATGCCTGTGAAATTATATCCTACTCTTTTCTGTAGTTGATAGGAAAGTTTTCATGTGAAACAGCCCAAGTCTTTAATAAAAAATCTGTTGTTGAAGTTACCCATTGGATTTTTAAAAAATGGCATATGCCTTTTTACCATACAGCGATGATTTCATTGTATTTTCTTAAATTTATTTTACCTCTTTGTTAGAAATTTGAGTTAGATCAGGCCAGAGATTTAGCTCAGTGGTTCTGCCATCTGCCTTGCAAGTGCAAGGTCCCAAGTTTGATCCCCGGTACCAAAAAAAAAAAAAAGAAATCCGAGCTAGATAAAATATTTTATGTATTACTTTTTTTTTTTACATAATATGCCTTGATGCTGTTATCAGTGACTTGTTTTATTGCAGACTGCCTCTGTTCTAGGAGAATAAGTTGATTTTTAGAAAAAAAGAATCTGTCCCTAGTTGCTTGTTGCTAGCTGCTTAGATGATTTTGCTGCCTTCTGCTTGCCACAAACTATTTCTCCTCTGTGATGCCCCTCTACCATGCCACCCTGCCTTGGAGACAGCCACCTATGAACTGAAACGTCTAAAAAGTGTGAGCTAAATAAACCTTTCCTCATTTAACTTCGGGTGTTGGATATTTTGTCTCAGCAATGAGAAAAGTAAGACAGATGAAAAATTAACAGCATAAGTCCAAAATGTCTGTTAGGAAAGCTAACCTCAAAGGAGTTGATAACACTGCTTTGGTCATCTTACCTAAAAGAATTTTTCCTGGGAAGCTTTGCGGATAGTTTTCTTAAAACAAAACAAACAGGTTCATGGTGACTTGCCATTAGAGCATTTGGGATTTAATTGATTTTTGTTGGCTAACAGGATTAGGCCATAATCATGTACATTTTTACTGGTGAGGTTATTTAGCCAGCAGTGGTTGATACTACAAGCTGGTTTTATATTACAAGCTGGTCTGGGAACTCATCTTCCATAATCTTATCTGGATAACAATGAAGTCACACTACAGAGTTTTTAGAGTTTGGACTCTCCTTTGTGTAATTGTTCTGCAAACAATCCCTTAAGGTTAGCCTATTTTTTTCAAGGAGAGTAGTTTTTAAGACTTCTTAATTTAGTTAATATTGCATTTCAGTCATTCCTCTTGAAGACTATTCTCAGGCCAAATTGATTGTACTAATTATGTACAGTGCTGAGTTACTTAATTTTTGCACATTGGCCTTTATACTGATCTCATGTTTGCAAAGTTTTACCACTCGGTATAGTTGCAAAGTTTAATTTCACTCGGGAGGCTGAGGCAGGAGGATCACTGCAAGTTTGAGGTTGGCTTGGGCTACAGAGTAAGTTCAAGGCCAGCCTGGACTACATTGATACCCTATCTCAAAAAACCAAAAAAAGAAAAAAAAAATGTCAAAGTCAGGGCAGGCATGGTGGTGCTTGCCTATAATCCTAGCACTCAGGCTGAGGCAGGAGGACTACAAGTCAGAGCCCAGCCTTGACAACTTGCTGAAGGGTTTGGGGATACAGCTTAGTGCCAAGGCCCTAGGTTCATTCCTCAGCACCACAGAACAAACAAAAATCAAGTTCAAGGTTTTGGTTATTCACTAAGGAAGAAACTAAGTGAATTTTTCTGAACATTTAAGTGGGTCAGCTCCAACACGTGCTTTCTCTTAGTAATTATTATCATGTTTCTAATGTTCTGGATCAAGTAATCATGATAGTAAGAGTCTTGTTGCACTGAGGAACCGCTGATAAAACTCTTCAGATGAGCTAGCATCTTTGAACTCAGTGTCAGTCATTTCTTCTCTAAATGTACAGCATCCTGGAACTGTCTCAGTCATAATATAGTCTAAATGAATAGTTCAAAAACGAGAATAGCCCTTGATACTGCGATTTGCTATGAATCTGGTTCTTGCCAAAGAAGAGATGTTAAGAAATAACAGGCACCAAAGATGTCAGGTTCAGAAGCATATTTTTGAAAAATTTATCTTGAGATAAGGTTTGGCCATGTTGCCCAGGCTGATTGCAAACTCACGGGCTCAAGCAATTTTGCTTCTTCCTCTTGAACAGCTGGAAGTACAGGCACATATTACCATGCCCAGTAGCGTTCTGTAAGTCTCAACGTAATTTCTATGTGCCATTGACTGTGACATTTTGCATAAAAATTCCTTGTCCTAAAATAACAATAGTCTTACATAGAAGTATTTTATGCTTAAGTACAAGAATGTTACTTGCGTATTTTTAAAAAGTGAACACTGGAATAATAATTGCAACTGATAAGAAAGGTATCCAATATATAATTGGAAAAGCAAAATGCAAAACATTTTTCTGGCAACAATCCCACTTGTGGAAAATACATTGAGAAAATATATCCATTTTATCACTAGCTCCACATTATATTATGAAGATGTGTATGTTTTTGGAAAGATGCACAAACTCTTAGCTGATTGTTGTTAGGAGTGACATAACATTCTAAGCTGAATGACTAACTTCATTTTTATATGCTTTCTGAAGCTTTTATATCCTTAGTAAATTCTTAGTAAAATAAGATTATAAACCTTCATTTATTTGGGTTTGAGGATTCTAGAGATACTGACTTGTAACAAGTTTCTGCTGTTGGCTTTTAACCTCTGGTTTTTCTGCTTATTCATAAAGGAGTTGAGTAATTTCCAGACTTGTAAGCACTACTAGACCACAATATTACAATGTACTCTTTTTAGCCCTATTATTGTGGCATGATTTATCAATGATGCAGCTTTTGGTTAATTTTAAAAATATAAAATAATTAAAATGTCCAATATGAGGCATTACTGAGAATGTACAATGGTAGTCATTTCTGAAAAAACCAAGAATACTCTTTTAACACTTGTCAGGTGGTACCCTATTAAAATACCTGAGTGAAAGGCTTGATTTGCTTTAGAGAGCCTCATAGTTGGTTATTTTTAAATGTTATTTTGTATCTTTCTTTACTTTTTTAAAAAGATACCTAGAAATTTCATTTATTCCCAAGTACAAATACTCAATTTTTCATGCATTAATGACTGTCTATTCTGGTGATTTTACATATTATGTAATCTTTACATATGTAAACAGTAATCTTGTTGCTTATTCCCTCTTGAGAGGTAAGGATCTAAATTGTAGCAAATAAGAGCTATTTAACAACATAGCCACCCATAAATCATAATTGTACACTAAATCTTGTAATTTTTGTTCTGATCTCACTGGGTTGCGAGATTATAACTCAGCCTTTACTGAGAAATTCTGTCCATCCAATCTTAGGTTGAGCTGAGGTTCTATAGGCTGATTATTGTGCAGGAATTTTGGGATGGAGGTGCATTCTGGTCTTTTAAGACATTTGCTACAGTGAGTTGATGTTGAATCATCTTTCATCCTGGTCTGAATGGCCTTTTAGTTGTAGCACTTTCAGCTACAGGACTATCTCCTGTTTCTGTGCCCTAATTAGGGCAGAAGTACCTGCACACTGGTGCCTGGACCCATGTGCCACTCCCTATGTAGTGTGGCCTCTTCTGGATGGCTTTGGCAGGAAGCCTCAGCAACAGCACCCCTCTCATAAATTCATCTAAGTAAAAACATACAAGTTTCTTAAACAAGGGACATCTTTCTCATCTTTAAGTCATTCTCTTTTTCTCTGTTCTACACAAACATTTTATATGTAATCCAGTCAGCTATTTTAGCTCTTCTATTCAAATGTCTATTCAAGACATTTTGTGTTTACCCTTGTACCCCTCATTATTCTGTAAACTTGTTTTTGTATTATTTTGCAACATAGAAGCCAGAGAGACACTCTCTGGCTATTTCTCCTTCCTGTCCTCTTCTGGGGCGATGACACAGAGCCAGATATCTCTGAAAAGGGGGTGGGAGACAGCTATCAGAAGAAAACATTAAGTTAATCTTCAAGAATACTTTTCCACAGTTTTTGAGTTTTCACTTGAGCATTTTCATCAGTCGATTACTGAGTTTCCCATGGTTTACAAATAGTACACTGCACATTTTTTTTAACCTGTTTTTGCTAAAATAAAAGCTGCTTTGGTGTTTTGAACCTTTTCCTCATATTCTGGAACCATAGGACCTATACTTTAGTAGTTGTACCTTAGTAAATTAAAGGAGACAGTTTGAATATAATCCCACATAGATTAGAATACAACTTCCCTGGCTCTCATATTCAAGGACTGTCTTAATGAATTTTTTTTTCTGTAATTTTACTTTTCAGCTTTTTTTTTTTTAGTTAAAATTCAAAAAATACAGAAAAGGCTTCTGTTCCCCAAAGTGATTTCTTCTCCCTATACAAGATCAATGTTAAATTCTAAATCCTCTCAGATATTTTTTATTAATACCTAAGTTCAATTTATATTCATTTCTCCATGTATAATATAACATGTATCTATATGGTATGTTAATTTTTTCTTTTTTTAATTCATCTTTTGGTTCATCAGTGTGTCTTGGGGGTCTTTCTGCAACAGTAAATTGCTTCTTTACTATTTTTTACATCTGTATGGTATTATATGGATGTACTTAATTAAACAAGATACAGTAGTACCCCCTTACCTGCAGTTTCAAATTGTGCATTTTTAAAAATCTTGAACCATCCTACTTGGGACATGAATTACTCCTTTGTCCAGCATATCGACGTTATATGTGCTACCCACCCATTAATCACTAAGTAGTTATTTTATTAGAGCAGCTGATGAAGTATTATGGACACAAGGATGCATTCACATAACTTGTTACACTAATTGTTATGACTTCTGTTTTATTAACATTAATCTTTTACTGTGCCTAGTTTACAAATTAAACTTACATGTATAAGATATGCAGCACTTACAGCAAAATATATATATATATGCACATACACATACTATCTGTAGTTTCAGGTGTTCACTGAGGGTCTTGGAACACAAGGCTTATAGATCAAGGGGGACTGCTATACCTTCATTGCTGACCATTTAATTGTTTCCAGTCTTCATCATAAATAATGGCACAGTATAGAGAATAATTTTTTTCCTGTGCTGGAGATTGAACCTAAGGTTTTTACATAGAGCTATATGCCCAACCCATCCCATCCGTTTTTACTTTTTATTTTGAGATGGCTTCTTGCTAGACATTAATTTGCCCCAGGCTGGACTCAAGCTTGCAATATTCCTGCTTCATTCTCCCCAAGTGCTGGGATTACAGGTATGCACCAGCATACCTGGCTGTAATTAACTCTTTGGCCTTTCTTCTAAACCCTGTATTCTGCTTTTTTTCTGGTCTATTCATGTATCAGTACTGTACCACTGTTTCAAATATTGAGTCCTATAGTATACTTCTATATCAAGTAGGATTAGTCTCCCTTTGACTATTACTGTTTATCATGTAAACTTTAAGCATTTTCTTTCCAAGAAAAAAAGTTCATGTTCTCAATCTGAATTCTGATTAGAAAAGTAACATCTTATTTATTCAAAAACAGTTATCACAGTTACAGTTAGTTTTTTTTCACATTTATTTTCTGTTCACCATAATTACTCTATGAAGGCATTGGTGGTTTCTATTTCGTTCACTATTCTGCCTATCATGCAGTGTAGCAACAAACACAGAAGTTGCTCAATGTATTTTGTTTAGTAAATGAATAAATGAAAGAAGTTTGAAAACTTGCCATTAAAATAAAACTATTATAGTCCTGCTAAAGATAGGCCACTGATCATGGAGTTAGATTCTCAAAAAAAAAAGTTATCTTAGTCACTTTGTCAGACCACAGTATCAACACACACAACTTTTAAAGGATGAGAGACTTATTTTGGCCCTTTAGTCCATCATAGGCCTACTCTGGGGCTGGGGATTTAGCTCAGTGGCATCTCTCCTGCCTTGCAAGCGCAAGGTCCTGAGTTCTGTCTCTGGTACCAGAAAAAAATAGAACCCATAGGCTGACTCCAAAGCAGAAATGGCATGAGGAAAGGACTCTAGGGAAGAAAGCTACTCATTTCATGTAGGCCAGGAAGCAGAGAATGAAGGGAGATAAACCCTTCCAGGTTACTCCCCCAGTGACCTACCTCTAGCCCCCATCTACTAACATCATTTGTAGCACATTTGTAGGAACCCCATGATCCACTCACCATCCAAACACATGAAGCTTTTGGGGGGAGGACACTCCAGATCTAAACCATAAAACAGGTCATTGTCCTTTTAATATCCTTAATTGTACTATGAGTAGTATCTGAAAATGTTCAAGTTAATTTATTCTTGTCATTACTTCATTTATGTTTTCTGTTCTTGCACTACTCAAGCCTTCCCTTGAGTTCACTATAGTACCATGCTTTTGACTTGATTTCTGCGGAAAAAATACACAAATACACAATTTCAAATTGACTATGGGTAGGATCTGGGACCCCCAACTCACTGGTAAATTGAGAATCCAAAGAGTGAGCAAAGCTAACTAAATTTGGAGCTGGGTTTAGTGGCGCACACCTGTAATCCCAGTTACTTGGGAGGATCCAGAGTTCAAGGCCAGCCTAGGCAATTTAGTTATACTTTTATCTCAAAATAGAAAGGACTGGTGTTGTAGCTCAGTGTAGAGAACTTGCTTGCATACACAAGGCCCTAGAATTGGTGCCCCACACACAAAGGAATCAGATTAAGTTTATGATTTTCATAGGGAAGCTGTGAAGAGATACTCCACAATTGATTCATATGTCCTATGGTGTAGAATGAAAGGAATCACTTAGTACTAAGTAGTAAAAGAAAACAAGGTATGATTCATGAAATTAAATGAAAAAATGTCCAGATATCTTAAAGGTTTTTTAACCATTTTTCCTGTAGTTGCATTTTATAAAAATGAAAATATTCTTAAGTTGAATTTTCCTTCCCACATATTATAATTTCATTAAAATATTCAGTGATGTGTCTTCTAATTGTGCTTTAATAGTTTATACTACTTTTTATTTACTTATTTATTATTTATTTATTTATTTTTTGCGATACCAAGGCTTGAACTCAGGACTTTGCGTTTACAAGGCAGGTGCTAGTGCCATGGAGCTAAATCCCCACTTCAATAGTTTATACTTCTACAAGTACAAAATTAGCTTGTACTAAAATCTCTTACTGAGATACTGGTTACATATAATTCAGAAGACCAGAAATACACATGTTCTTCTGAACATGACCCTAGTTTAAATTGTTTTAGTGTTAATACTTTTAACTTATACCCTTTTCTTTTCTCATTAAGGATTCTGGACTCTCCTTATAATATCCCTAACTGCTGGGTTCTCGTGTTGTAGCTTTTCTTGGACAGTGACGTATTTTGATTCTTTTGAACCGGGAATGTTTCCTCCTACTCCTCTTTCACCTGCCAGGTTCAAGTAAGTACAATATTCCTGTTTGTTTCTTTTTTTTTTCCTAACTCATTTCAACTTGTTTGAAAAGCCTAAAAGAAGCAAGAAGCTGTTCATTTATAACTTGGCTCCTCACTCAGGGTAGCAGACAACTATGCCATACTTGTCTAATCACAATGTGTACTTTAGCATAATGGTAGTCGGCTGTGTGACTCAGTAGCTGCGCTGGGGGAATACAGGAAGCAGTCTTTATGTTCACCCACTGGTACGACAAATGGCAAGGTGTATGCATGTGTGTCTTAAGTGTAAACAGGTGAGTTCTATCCATGTTACATACCATGTTACATTTTTGTGTATTTATAGATGTATTTTTTTAATTAAATGTTTTCTATTGATTTTTCTGGTAGAATTAGCCCAATTCAGTACAATATCACGTGAAAATCTTTTTTACAACTTTGGGAGGAGGTTGAAAGTGAGTTGTCAGGTGACTTGGCTACCGATGATGACTTCTATTGTGTAAGCCAAAGAAGTTAGCAAGATATGATAGAGAAGTACAGAATGAAGTCCTTGATTTAGCTGAGGAAGAAAACAGTAATTAAATAAATATCTGACTAGTCAGAATGGTACAAAATGGTCACATATATCTGAACAATCCAATGTGAGAACTAGGTCCAAAAATGTTATTAGGTTCTTTCCAGGGGTGAAACCTATTGCCTGGAATACCAACACTGCGATTCAGTGTTGGAAATTGTAACGGATGATATGCTACAAGGTGTTTTGAAATACACTAATAATGAAATACAAGTAAAACATTCTATATGCATCTATAACAATACTCAAAAATATGTTTATGATGACACTTGGTAAGAACTAAAAGCCTTTATAGCAGGACTTTATCATTCTAATCATCAGAATCTAGAGAATTTATGGAGAAGTGACAGATGTGGCATTGAGATTTTTAGAACAATAATGACACTCAAGAGATTTGGTTTCCTTCAAAATTTCCTGCATTTTGACCACAAAAAGACCCGCCAGAAAGGAAAAATCCGACAGTTTGGTTGCTATTTGCTCAGTTTTTGAAAGGTTTGTTTTGAACTGTCAAGCAATTTATCGTCCGAATACATGACAACTGACGAACAGTTTGCATCATTTTGTGCTTGTTGAAGCTTTTGGCAATATATGTCAAATTAATCTTTAAAAATGGTATAAAAATATATGCCCTGGTAGATGTGAAGACATTTTACACCTTGGATTTAGAAATTTATCCTTGAACTCAGCCACCAGGTCTTTCTTTGTGCAGTAATAAACTGTCTGACTTTGTGAACAGACTTGTTGCACATATTTCAAAAAGTAATCCAAAAAATCGAAAAAGAAAAAAGTAACCCAAATGTCACATTTGACAGTTGGTTCACTATTTACACATTGATACTACATTTGCTGAAAGAACACCAGTTGACCAGCACAGAAACTATTTGCAAGGACAAAGCTGAAATGCCTAAAAAAACGTTGCAAGTTCACAATGGGGAAATGTACAGTACAATCTTTAGATTTCAGAAAGACATAACATTGGCCTCCATAGCAAAGAAAAACAAACTGGTATTGATACTGTCAACATTACACCAGATGATAAGATTGATAGTGAAGCTGGGTATGGTGATGCACACCTATAACCCCAGAATTCAGGAGGCTGATGCAGGAGGATCCTGTGAGTTCAAAGTCAACCTGTGCTATGCAGTGAGTTCCAGTCTAGCTTGGACTACTTAAGGTGAAGAAAAAGTAATATTGATATTGTCATTGTTACACCATAATGATAAGATTGATAGGCCTAGCATGGTGGTGCACACCTGTAATCCCAGCACTTTGTGAGGCTAAGGCAGGAGGATCCTGTGAATTCAAGGTCAGCCTGTGCTACATAGTGAGTTCAAGGCTAACCTGGACTATAGAGCAAGACCCACCCTGTCTCAGAACAAAAAAGGATAGTGAATCCTCAACACAAATGAAGCCAGAAGGGTCACATTTTGCATCAAAATGAAAGGTGGAGTAGATGTTGTCTAGTTATGCAGCAATGATGATGTCACTCAAAAAAGCGTTGGCCAGTGGTTGTGTTTTACTCAATCCTAAACGTGTCGGGCATAATTGATTTCATAGTTGACAAAGAAAATTAACAAGCACAAAATGACATGGAAAAATTTTCTTAGACAGTTAGGACTGGAATTGATAAATGATCAGTTACAACAGAGGAAGAACAGTATATATCTGCCCAAAGAACTCCACAGAAGAATTCTGGAGCAGACCAATGAACAAACAACTGAAACAACACAAGAACCTCCTAAGAAACAGGAAGACTAGCAAGATGTCAAGTATGTCATACCAAAGAAGATAGGAAACAAAACACATGCTATCAGTGTAAGCAATACTTGTGTATGGAACATGCTGTTCTCATCTGTGAAAACTGCCTTAGGTGTGATAATTGAAGTAAAGATTAGTTTTGCGGTAGAATTTATTTGTATTTTCATTGTAGCTCACACGCTGTTACTTTTTAGATTTAGTAAGCAAACAGTTGATGTTGAAAATGCTGATGTTCTAAACACTCATTACATATTAAAAACTTAATATTTTATTTTATTGATATTTTCCTGTTATGTGCAGACTATTTAATATAATAAAACATAAAATTAAAATAATTCATCAATAGAAATACTTCTAAATAATAAATGTGAGTGTTATACACCCACCATAATGTGCCATTTAAAAAATTTCCTGTGATGCCCCAGGGTTGAGGTTTTATTCTCTACAAGAAACAAATGACACAAGATTTTTAATTTATGGGGTCTTCTTTTAGATAAATGAAATACTTTATATTCACTAGATAATATAATTTTTAAATATGAAGTTCAAGGAATTATCTAAAAACAAACTTTGGTGATTGTCCTCAGATGGAATTTGAAATATAAAAGTTTATAAAGGTAAAATTAATATTAACAGTTTGAATGTTTTACAAGATTCATGTAACAAATGGTTAGACTCAAAACAGTTTAATAACTGGATTGGACTTTTCCTCAGGATTTATATTTTGTATAATATTTTCAACCATCTGTGGCACCCAGTTTATAGATCTAGACCAGATTGGATGCTTTTTATAGTTAAATAGTGTTCAATTTCTTTGGTCTGTATTTCAAAGAATTTGGGAAAATTCAGTAAGCAGTGATCTAGTATCAAGAAGACTCCAGTTTTAAATATTAATTTTCAGTGAAATGATCAAAGATTTCATTTATTCTGCAGGTGGTGGTTGAAAAGGAGTTGGTGAAGGCTAGTAAATAAGTTCCTTTAAATTTATGGCGTGTTGCTATAGTTGTTAACTATTACTGTTACTCCAGCTTCAGTCTACCTCTTGGATAGGTCGTAGAGATAAGAATATGTATTTGAGGGAGTCTATAAATGCAAAGCTACACTAATGATAACTTATTAATCATTAGTACTACTGGCTTTCATTAGGACACTTCCATATATCTTTCTGCCTTACATAAATCTCTAAAAAATTTAGCTTCACTTTCAGTGAAATGTGAATATCTATATTTGTGTATGTATGTATTTTAAATGTGTGAATAAATCCCTTTGGGTATATGAAACATTGTGTACTTGCAAATAAGTTTTATGAGTCCATGAGATGGATAAATTAATTAATACTCTCAATTAATTAGACTAAAAGTTATATCTAACAATATAATACTATCTCATAGTTCACATGGGTACCGTTCAGTTGGAGAATTTACGTCGCTGAGAGATAAAGAGTTCAATTCAAATTTATGTTCTTTTGCTGCCTATTAACATCAGTTATTTTAATAAGGGGTATGAGTCTCATGTAGTAAACTCATAGATGAAAAAAAATTCTCATTTTTTTCTTTTACCTGCATCTCACTTCTCCCCTGAATTATAGTCCATATTTCCAGGTATTAGGTATAGGTCCATATTTGCTGCCTGGCATCAGAAAGGATCTACACATAAAAATGATTTAAAATCTCTAGTCCTTAAGACACTTTTCATTCACTCACCAAAGCTTGAAACCCTTATCAGTAGGCTCGTTCAACTTCACCAAGTCTAGTTCTTCTTGTGTTTTCAAATGATACTGGAAGACTTCCTCTTTGCATCACTAGTGTTTTTGCACTATTAAGGTTTCGGCCTGTGTTTTTAACTTTTCCTCCAAACTTTTACTCCTCTCATTTGCCCTACATATTGTTATTTAAAACCAAACAAATCTATTTACAGCTGTCTTTTATCTAAAACTCTTCAGTGGCTTTTCTATCGCCTTTAATATAAAGTTCAACTCTTGAGTGTAGCAAATGACCCTGCCTTATTCTTCCAATTTCATCTTCACTTATTTCTGCAGTGCATATACTTTCTAGCACTATATGGTTTCTGTAGCCAGGTGCCACATTACCTTAGTATCCCTCAAGTAAATTATGTAATTCTGAGACATCATGAACTTTATTTATTCTTGGCACATTTTTCTTCCTGGAATATTATTTTCCCCTCTCACTTTCTCTTCTATGACCACCACAATTCATAAGCCTCATAAATAATAAAATTTGGAGTTTTTTAGAGAAAAGTCTTCTGGTGTTCTCATAAGGATCTACTATTAACTGATTGTATTTAATTTTTGAAAATGTAGGATTTTTTATTAAACTGCAGTAGTGAAAGATATCTTTTCAATATTTGTTTTAATGAGAATGTCAGATCACAGTCTTAGATTATGTATTTGTGTTAATACAACTCTACAAATAGTTTTGAAATATGTATACAAAATATATTTTCTAGCCAGGTGTGGTGGCACATGCCTGTAATCCTAATACTCTGGGAACCTGAGACAGGAAGATTGCAAATTCAAGCTCAGCTTGGGTAACTTAATGACTTAACAAAATCCTGTCTCAAAAAAAATTCTTGCATGTGCCACAGTATTCTGTTTAGATTTT